AGCTGACCTCAAACTCAGAGGATGATCTTTAACTCCTGATCCTTCTGTTTCTACTTCCAGGGTGCTAGGATTATAGATGTATGTAACTATACCTGGCTAGCCCCAATTCTTGAAGGATTAAAATGGGTAATGTCCAGGCTGGAGAGATGGCTCAGTGGTTAAAAGCACTGGCTGCTTTTGCAGAGGACCCAGGTTTAATTCCCAGCACCCACATGGCAGCTAACAACCATCTGTAACTCCAGTTCCAGGGAATCTGACACCCTCTTCTGATCTCTGTGGGCATTGCATGACGTGAGTGCACTTACATACATGTAGGCAATACACTCATACACATAAAAAAATAAAAAATAAAATACTTTTTAAAAAATAAGTAATGTCCACAAAGAACTTAGAATCAGTTCAGTCTATGGTGGTTTTATTTGGGCATGGGAAGGAGGCAGACACACAGGAGCTCTTGCTTGCATGTGGCTATAGGACATTGGTGTTGTTCAGAACTCTCCCGTACGGAAGACCTCAGGATGGCCTCTGGTGGAGTAGAGGGCAAGCAGTTTGGGATGAAACTTGGAATATTTTCTGAAATGTAGGAAAGATGGAGTGAGAATGGTGTTTTGCTGGAGGCTGAAGACTGCTTTGCAGGCCTGGGCTTCCCTGCCAAGAGAGGGGGTTGAGGTTCTTACAAAGGACACTGGTGGCAGTGCAAATAAGCCATGGATTGTGTTCCCCCAGTCAGAAAAGGGAGGAATTTAGGAAGGAGGGGGAGGGGGTACAAACCCCAAGTGTGGCTGAACATCAGCTTGGGGCTCTCCTTTCATGCTAGTTGGCACGCACTTCCCTGCTACTCTGGCTTCTTCCTCTTGGCTCACAGGATGATTTTCCTCTGTGCTGCCGGATAAACAGTGTGCAAGGATGGGGATGGTGGGCTCAGGACACTCAGCAGGGGCTGCTTCCTACCTTGCTGGGCTGCTTAGGACAGGACAGGCAGGGTGAGAGAAAGGGAGAGTAGGCCACATTCCCAGGTACCTTTACACAATGAACTCACGTGAGAAGGTGCAGAAAGTGGGATCTGCAGAAAGTCTAGAATTCCCTTCCTTCCTCTTTCCCTCTGTCCCTCCATCCCTCCATCCCCCCCTCCCTTCTTTCTTCTGATCACACAGCTAATGAATGGTAAAGGATCCTTCCTTCCTTCCTTCCTTCCTTCCTTCCTTCCTTCCTTCCTTCCTTTCTCCCTTCCTTCCTTCCTCTCTCCCTTCCTTCCCTCCTTCTTTTCTTTTTCTTTCTCTCATTCCTTCATTTTTGAGAGAGACTCAAGTATCCCAGGCTAACCTTGAATTTGCTCTGTAGCCAAATGTTAAGGTTCAGATACCCTGCCCCCTCACCAACAGGATCCCAAGGACTTCTCATGCTCCTGAGAAAAGGGAACCTAGCTGATAAGCACCTTGGTCTTTGAAGTCAAGAGAAGCAGACTTTTCTCCACTGTTTGACCAACACAGCAGGCTTCCCCTTTGATCTCTAAAGAGGACAGGTTTTAACAGTCCCGCTCTCCCATCCCCCCTCCCAACTTTAAAAAAATACATCTTCCTGCCTTCTGCAGGAAGCAGAAGCCTCCCTTTTTAAAAGACCCCAGCTCAAGACCCGGGCAGACATTTTCCCTGCCCGGAAGGGAATCTGTCCCATGTGTTCCTTTGCTAATAAACCCTATTTTGATTGAGTTTTATCTGTGTCCTGGTGCCTCCTCCATTCGCTCGTTCTCCGCCAACTTTTTACCTATCACCAAGGATGGTTTTGAACTTGTGATCCTCCTGCCTCTGTCTCTCAAGTGCTAGAACTGCAGGCCTGTATCATCATGCCTAGGCTAAGACCCAGAGTTTCTATGTCTTTGTCTTGGTTCTTCCTTAGAGGTTCTCAAATGTCTGAGGGAACGCCAGGGACACAGGCCAAGCATACCCTAAGTAGGGAAATGGAAGAGGCATTGAGGATGTGCACCTCAATTTTACCATTCATTAGCTGTGTGATCAGGGATAGGTAACTTTTTATGCCTGAGTTTCTATTTCTGCTGTATGATGGTTGACTGAGGTTTTTGTAGTTGTTTTACATTTTTTATTTATATATTTTTATTTTGTATGTATGAGTGTTTCATCTACTTGTATATAAGTGCACTCATGTCATGCAATGCCCATGGAGGCCAGAAGAGGGCATTGGATCTCCTGGAACTGGAGTTACAGATGGTTGTTAGCTGCCATGTGAGTGCTGAGAACTGAACCCTTGTCTTCTGCAAGAGTATCAAGTCCTCTTAACCACTGAGCCATCTCTCCAGCCCCATAGTTATTTGTTTTTGAGACAGGAACGCTAGGTTTACAGTTGTGACACCATAGCATGTATTTGATGGAGGGTTTGTGATGTGTAGAAAGTACATGATGGATAGAAACTGCTTCACCAATAGCAGCTATTACCACTGCTGTCATCCTCTGCTCAAGATGTAATTCATGGTCTGATTCAGCCTGAAACCAGGGCTCCTTCCTTTGCCATTGCCGATGCAAGTTCTCAAATGAGTTCTTTTGTTTTCTTCCACATTCTTTTCCACAGATCTCCTCCTTGGGAGTCACAACCTTTAGCCTCTGTGCCCTGGGCATAGACCGCTTCCACGTGGCCACCAGCACCTTGCCCAAGGTGAGGCCCATTGAGCGCTGCCAGTCAATCCTGGCCAAACTGGCTGTTATCTGGGTGGGCTCCATGATGCTGGCTGTGCCTGAACTCCTGCTCTGGCAGCTAACACAGGAACCTGCCTCCACCATGGGCACAGTGGACTCATGTATCATGAAACCTTCAGCCAACCTGCCTGAGTCCCTCTATTCACTAGTGATGACTTACCAGAATGCCCGTATGTGGTGGTACTTTGGCTGCTACTTCTGCCTGCCCATCCTCTTCACCGTCACCTGTCAGCTGGTGACATGGCGAGTGCGGGGCCCACCAGGCAGGAAACCCGAGTGCCGGGCAGGCAAGCATGAGCAGTGTGAGAGCCAGCTCAACAGCACCGTGGTAGGCCTGACTGTGGTCTATGCCTTCTGTACACTTCCTGAAAACGTCTGCAACATCGTGGTGGCCTACCTCTCCACCGAGCTCACACGCCAGACCCTGGATCTCCTGGGCCTCATCAATCAGTTCTCCACCTTCTTCAAGGGCGCCATCACCCCTGTACTCCTCCTGTGCATCTGTAGGCCATTGGGCCAGGCCTTCCTGGATTGCTGCTGCTGTTGCTGCTGTGAAGAATGTGGTGGAACCTCAGAGGCCTCTGCCACTGATGGCTCAGACAGCAAGCTCAAGACAGAAGTGTCCTCCTCCATCTACTTCCATAAGCCCAGGGAGTCACCCCCACTCTTGCCCCTGGGTACACCTTGCTGAGTCTAGGCATGAGCAATCTGGGGTCATAGGAGCAGGGGCAGAACAAGCAGTGGGAGTGGGGGGTACCATCTCAACTCTTCCCCAATATATCTTACTTTGCCTCCCATCTTGCTGTTTAGAGATGGACTTGGCTCATTCTGTTTAAGTTTGGGCTTAGCAAAACCCTATCAGCAAACAAGGTTATTCTTATACTCTGAGGGGCCTGCCAGCCTTGTTCTTTCCACTGGTGGGTGGCAATCTCTCTAGGTCCTTAGAGCTGCCCAGACTCTCAGTCCAGCTGGAAGGGAGCCAGGACTTACGTGGTCTCCCTTCTCTTCAGCCTTGGACCTGCCTATATGTTAGTCGAGCCCCTTTCCAAGCATCACTTCCCTATTCCCATCCAGACCCTGTCCTGGAGCAGGGGCTTCTTGGAGACGAGTCCCACCAAGCTCAGCATCCTACTCTTTAGACTGGGTCTGTCTCAGCTCTGGAAGCTTCCTCCCTTCTTCCAGAGGATTCTTTCACTGCTGTCCTCCTTTCTCTGAGGTACCCATGATTGCCTTATCCAACTGTCCCCACCCCGACTCCCGTTAGGTGCTTTCCTAAAGAAGTCCCTTCTGGAAAAACAATAAACTAGGTAGCAATATCCCTGTGCCCACTGCACTTTCTTGTGCTGTGCCTGGCAGTGTCCAGGCACCCACCTGGGCCTTTCCCAGGGTTGGGCAGTGCCCTAGGCCTGGGCCTATGGTTATTGTCTTCCCTGGGAGGTTCCAAGGACATTACAGCTTTTGAGACAGAGAAAAGGGAGGGCTTGGGGAGCTAGGGACTAAATCCTTACCCAGAGCTAAACCCAGCTGGCCCTGGGAAGTCAGCCCACTTGTCTCTAGAGCCCCCACCTCCGTACCCTCTCTCCACAAAGCCCCCATTTGAGGGAATCCAGAGGCCTTCCCCTCATGAGCCACGGGGCTTCCCAGCCTCCCTCACTCTAACAGTGGCTCTTGTTCAGTTTCTTAGAATGAGCTGTTTGGTCCTCAGATGGCCCAGCTGTCTGTCCCTTGCCTACTCCCACCACCCCCACCATACCCTTCCCAGCAGGCCCTGTAGCTCCTCCCACTGGTCCCTGTCTTTGAAGTCATTTCCCCCAGCTCCACCCCTGAGGCCCTTCCTAAGGACCCCTAATCCTGCTGATCCCTAAGAACCTGAGATATCAGTCAGAAGTGAAGTGCAGCCCAGCCCACTGGTGTCCTCCTTTTGTTGTTTTGTTTATTTTGTTTGTTTTGGGACAGGGTCTCACTGTGTAGCCCTGGCTGGCCTAGAACTCACTGTGCAGACCAGGCTGGCCTGGAACTCACAGAGGCCCACCTGCCTCAAGTGCTGGGACTAAAGGCATGGGCCACCTTGCCCTGCTTGAAACTACCCTCCTTATCTGGAGTTCGGGTCTGGATTGCACAGATTCTTGCTCATTAGACCAACCTAGAATCTCTACCAGCACAGGCCCCCAAGGGCATGGGGTCTTGACTGACCTCTATTCTTCTCTGTCCAGTCACCCATACCCCTGAGCCTCAGGCTGCCCAGTGCTTGTCTCCCTCCCTACCACCAGGGATCTGAACAGCCTTGTTCTCACTCCTTGGCACCCCCTACCCCCCAGGGCCAGTGATGCTGGCCAAGAGTGAGGGCGGCTGTTGCTAAGTGATGGAGCTGCCATGCGCACACCCTTTGTACTGGAGAATGACACCCACCCATTTCTCGGCAGACCTGTTGCTACAGTGACCAAATCCCCCAGCTTTGTCTTCGTGGGGAGGGGAGGAGGGAGGGTTGTTAGAGAGGGGGTAAAGGTGGATCTATAGCTCTGAGCAAAGCAGGCGAAGGGTGCTTCCACCACTTTGCACCCCGCTACCCCAATCCTGCATGCACCAATAGCTTCCTAAAGGGAGGAAGAAGGAGGCTGGGTGAGCCGAGGTGAAGCTTGGGGCAGGGAGAAGGCTGAGGATGGAAGGCTCAAGGGTAGTGGGGCGGGGGCACCTCAACATCCTGTTTGGGAGCCTCTTCCACAAAGGACATACTCTGGACCCCCTCCTGCCTTTTGGCCAGCTCAGAGCTAAAGGGGGAGAGATGGTGGCTCCTAGACCTTGTTACTGCTGCTGCTTCAGGCCTGCCAACGTGAATGGCTTGCAGAATTAGTCAGCAGGCCAGCCAAGCTTGAGAAAGATCCAGTCCCTCCAGCCTGGCCCAGCCAGGGAACAATGTGTGATTTGTTGCTCAGGGGTCCCAGTTCTTTTTTGGGGGGGTGGCTCAGGGTGCGCAGTGGATTTGAACTGGGATGTTCAAAAAGAGGTGGTGACATCCAGAATAGGAGACCAGTCTTCAGACTAAGATGCCAGGTGGTAGAAGGGAGGGCAGATGGAGCTATCTCAGCTCCATTCTTTATCCTGGATCCTGAGTATACCTGCTTAACAAATTCAGTCTTAGCTTCCCCGTCTAAGAAACAAACAATCCCTCCTTCACAGAGGCCTGTGGTCATTAACTGTAGCTGGGTAGTAGACTGCTCGCCTAGCATGTTCATGGCTTTTGGTTCCACCTTCACCACCCCCAAGGGGAAAGAGGGGATGATGTGTCAAGCACCGGGCATGCGCTTTACACCTCGCCTTTGGGAATTCAAATCTCTAGCAACACAGAGAAGGTTTGGCCAGGTATTCTCTTCTTTTGTTTTTTTTTTTGGTCTCACTATGTCGCCTTGGCTGGCCTGGAACTCACTATGTAGACCAGGCTGGCTTCAAACTCACAGAAATCTACCTGCAGCTGCCTCCTGAGTTCTGGGATTAAAGGTGTGTATTACCACAGTCAGCATGGCCTGCTTAATTCATTCATTTTGGCATCAGAGGACCCAAACACGATGATTTATATACACTGTATCCATGGGCTGTTTCCCATTCAAGCTGAATAAGCTCTTTAGCCCCTGTTAGGCATCTGCTGCAGCAATGCTTTTTCTTTTCTTTTCTTTCTTTCTTTTTTTTTTTGTCTTTTTGAGACAGGGTAGCTGTAGCCCCAGCTGGCCTGGAACTTGCTATGTAGACCAGGCTAGCCTTGAACTTAGAGATCTGCTTGCCTCTGCCTCCCAAGTGCTGGGATTAAAGGTGTGCACCACCATGCCTGGCACAAGACAATGCTTTTGCAGGGACTGATAACCAGATCTTTCATCAAACCTCATCTGGAGAACACAGGACCTGAGAAGCCTCTCAGTCCTCAAAAACCCTGATGGATGAGACCCAGGTACAGGCACACCTTGTAGCCAGTGGGGTCAAAAGACAGAGACTGGGCCCATGATCAGCTTCCTTAAAAAAGGGGGTACACATCTTAAACTCTTTAGGGGGTTGAGAGCCCTGAGAGCCTTTTAGCTGGGAGCAAATCCAGTTTTTCCTCAAACTTTTTTTTTTCTCCATGCTGCAGGGCATGTAACCCATGGCTGGGCCTTGTGTACATTAGGCCAGTGTTCTGTTACTGAACTAAATCTGCAGACTTTTCTTTTTGTGTGTGTGTATGGCTTACTTTAATTTTTTATTATAAAAAACACAAGAGGTTTAAGAAATGATGAATACAAGTCAGAATCACGGTGAGTTATTAAACCCATTTTCTATGTACAAATACTAAAATTCCAAAAGTGGAATATCATACAGTGTGAGACATATCATAGATAGCACTGTCTGTACACAGCATGCAGAGGTCAGTGGGCACACAGCCTGCAGAGTACTCTGCGTGTACAGCCTGTAGAGCTATCCCTATGCACACAGCCAGAGGTCAGTGTGCACACAGCTAGCTGTCTATATGCAGAGCCTGCATGCAGAACACTGTGCATTGCAGCCTTGCCAGACTTTTTAAATTCCTCCAGCAACATAAACTCCCCCTCTAGGCTGGGTACTTCTTTCATGGCTGAACAGTGGCCCCAGAAAGACGTTTTTACACTGACAGAGTGTAGGGCCTGACCTAAGCTCTCTCATAAGCCAAGAGAAAATGTGGCTGTCTCTTGCAGAGTCGGGGTGGGAGTGAGGTGATGGGCAGTTAGTTTTGCAGGGGCCTGCTCCAGTTTCCATTTTCCAGGGTTAAGGAGAGGAAGAGTGGTGGGGAGCAAGGGTCCATGGGATAGGGCTTACTATAAAACTGGGTCAAGATGGCCTCACATTTGAGCAAGCAGGCCCCACAGGCACCTAGGCTGTAGCTGTGGGCATCACAGTGGGGTCCAGCAAGACAGATGGGGTGGGAGTTAAATCAGCAGAATGAGGGTGGGGCCTCTCCCAGAAAATCAGTAGCACAGACACCAACAGTACAGCTAAGGAGGCTCTGAAGGCCCATGTTATACCCCTGGAGGACATTTAACTGCTTCCTGGTGGGGACAGGGAGTGAGGGGGTAGAGGCAGATATCTCATTCTGGCCTATCCTTGGTTACAGGGGAGAGACTGGGCATAGAAGTGGCTGTAAAGAAAAAGATGCTCAGTTTAGCACATGAACAACCAGCTAGAGCCTGCCACCATGACCTAGGTCTGGGCAGTTCCTCTAACAGACCTGCTTACTACCAATTGGCAGCTGCCAGCCTACATGAAGTTGAAGGGAATGAGAAACAGGCAGTTCTGGCCTATCCTTGGTTACAGGGGAGAGACTGGGCATAGAAGTGGTTGTAAAGAAAAAGTTGCTCAGTTTAGCACATGAACAACCAGCTAGAGCCTGCCACCATGACCTAGGTCTGGGCAGTTCCTCTAACAGACCTGCTTACTACCAATTGGCAGCTGCCAGCCTACATGAAGTTGAAGGGAATGAGAAACAGGCAATGCCAGAGCCCAGACACATGTGTGGGAGGTTGCTTTGTGAGGGACTATTGTGTTTCCAGTGTGGCACGTGTTCCCTGTGGCTGTTCAATGTGAGGGGGTATTGGTGTCCTTGTGGGTCCACTAGTCAGTCCACGACATCTGCAGAAAACAACAGGTACCACACACACCCCCAACACAAAATTGGTAATTTATTATTGTCATTATTAGGAAGCAAAAAAAAAAAATGTACAGTTACAAGAATCAATTTCCAAACAGAGGTTAAGTAGCTGAAAAGTGTAAAAAGGAAGAGGAACATCACTTTACAAACCATTAATTTAAACAAACAAACAAGAAAACAAAACCCAAAGAGCCAACCCCCCATGCTGAGTTCTTTCCTTGTGCAACTCTGCGAAATGAGAACAGAAAATGAGGTGGGCTGTGGAGGTGGGGGCTCTGGGTAGAGGCAGGAGCTGGGACCAGGAGCAGCGGGGGGTGGGATGGCTGGGACAGTATGCACACTGGTTTCCTGCCCCTTAAGTCTGGTGGTCTCTGGTACCTGACTGTACCTGGTGGTCCTATCAAGGCTGGGGACAGAAAGGAGGCTCCGGCCAATCTGTGGTATTCAGGCCCTACACTGGGAGGCAGAAACACCTTAGAGGACATGGAGGCAGCCACCAGTGCTCAGGCCAGTACCTGCTATAGGTGCTGGCCTTCACTTTTCTAGATCTGAGCTCGCCCAAGCCAACCCTGCTTCTCTTCCCTTCTCTCCAGACTACCCCTCCCAGGTCCTGATTGGCCCCTGCAGCATCAAATGGTTGATTTTAGTCTTTGCTTAAATTAAAAAATTAAAATATATATACATATATATACTGTACACACAGGACAATAACAGAGAGTGTTGAAAAGGGAAGTAGAGGGGTGGGACAGGAAGGTGAGGAGGGCAGGGGCTGCCGGCCAGGGCTGTTGAGAGGGGAGGAAAGCAGGCCTAGGTGAAGGGACAAAGGGAGAGAGCAAGGAAGAAAGGTTAGGGGGCCAGATGGGGGGCAATTTATTTTACAATAAAAACAGGAGTTCAAACCTCAGGAGAATGGGACTCTGGGAGCCCCAGAGGGCCCTCCCCACACTGGGTGAGGAACGGTGGGCTTTGGGGGGTATGACAGGGTGGGCGGGGAGCTCGGCTTCAGGTTAGGTGACTGTGGTCCCTGCTCCAAGGGAGAAGGGCCACAGTCTCAGCTTCTCCGTGACTTTGAGTGTTGAATAAGCCACTGTAGGGTGATGTCTGAGGAGACAAGAGAAAAAGTCATGAGACCTCCCAGTACAGGTCACGCTGAGGTGGTATAGCTTGGGAGGTAGGAGCAATAAGTCAAGGCATCCCAAATTGTAGCCAGGATCAAGCCCAGAGCTGTACCTCCCTAAATGGCCCCAAGCAAGCGGTGGGGAAGACACAGAGCCCCAACAAGCAAAGTCAGAAGCGGCCTGGAGTACCTGGTCCAACCCTATAATTTCAGAAGTGAGCAAGAGGGAATGGGTGGCTCAAGATACATAATCCAAGAGGCAAGGCTGGGGTCATGCTCAGAACTGGGCCCCCTAGCTGCCTGCTACACCCAAGCACTAAGGACTAGCTGCAGGGCAGGAACTTTCCTGAGTCCTGTGCTAAGACTAGCAGTCTTTCCTTTCCCTTCCTCATAGCCACTGTGGTAGAGTGCCGGCAGCTTTCCAGACTCACACACCTATGTTGTCCTTCTCTTTGCAGGAGATGGAATAGCAGCAGATCTCTCGGTCCTGGATAGCAGACAGATTCCTAGGGAGAGACAGGAGCAGAATCTGCTGAGGCTGGGGCTCCCAGGGGCCTGAACCAGGGGATGGCAAGGTCTTTTTCTTGCTCAAGGGGCTACAAGAGGAGGATGAGGCTCCTGGAAAGATGTGTTCTGCTGCCGCCATGTGGTGAACACTAAGAACAGCAACAAGCCCAGCCCAGGAGTGTTTGGCAGCTAGGGAATTTGGGGGAACACACACAAAGAAAGGCTACACAACTCACATTTTCTCAATCAGCTCTTTCTCATCGAGTGCTCCTGGGAGGTCTCGCTTGTTACCCAGGACTAAGACCTATAGAGGAGGGAAGATGAGGATGAGATCAAGGACATCCCAGCATGGCCCCCAGTGACTTCTGCCCAGCTTCCTCTCCCCCCAACTCCATTATTGGCTGACCGGGATGCCCTGAAGCTGCGGCTTGTCCAGCAGGTTGTGAAGCTCATTCTTGGAGGCCTCAATCTTCTCCTGGTCGGCAGCATCCACCATATACCTGGGGAAGGCAGGCGGGGACAGCATGTGGACACCATGGGCTGAGGGTAAGCAGGGAGAGTTGCTGCTGAGGGGGCAGAACACCTTGATCCAGTCTGGTCACCTCTGGAGCCATGGGCCAACCTGGGCTGGCTCAGAGAATGTTTTCCTAATTCATGGGAGTAAAGCACTGAGGGCTTTTTTATCCTGTCTGTGTGGAAGCTGCTATGTGGCAAAGCTGAGGTGTGTAGGATTAGAGGTAAGTCTAGCCCAAAGTGACCTACTTACATTTTCATGGAAAGCCTAGATAGGGCTAGAGTTGAGACAATAAAGGGACCCCTCCCCCCACAAAGGCAGGGCCAAGATATGTTTCTTTTCTTTTTTTTTTTTTTTTTGGCCTTTTTGAAACAGGGTCTCCCTGTCCCCAGCTGACCTGGAACTCACTATGTAGACCAGGCTGGCCTTGAACTCGCCGAGATCCGCCTGCCTCTGCCTTCGGAGTGCTGGGATTAAAGGTATGTGCCACCACACCCGGCTCAAGATACTTGTTTCTTAAAAATCATGTTTAAGCTGGGCGTGGTAGCACATGCCTTTAATACCAGCACTTGGAAGGCAGAGGCAGGTGAATCTCTGTGAGTTCAAGGCCAACTTGGTGTACTACATAGCAAGTTCAGGCGACCTGGGGCTACAGAGAGACCAGAGCCTGTCTCAAAAAGGCAAAAAAAAAAAAAAAAAAAAAATCTGGTTTAAGCCAGGCCTTTAATCCTAGCAGCTGGGAGGCAGAGGCAGGCAGATTTCTGTGAATCTGAGGCTAGCCTGGTCTATATAAGTGAGCTCCAGGCCAGCCAGAGCTACATGTAAGATACTGTCTCAAAAAACAAAATAAATAAAGGAAACTAAAAAAATCTGTTGACTGACTGAACATACATGCTGAGTGCATTTTTTCTGCCATGTCTGTGGCACTGGAGTTGAACCCAGGGTCTTGCACATACTAGGCAGGAGCTTTACCATAGACCTACATCCCTAACCTGGATAAAACTAACAAGTGAAAGAATCATTTAAACCACTCAAAATTCAAGACATGGTGATTTGAGGTGGGGATGGGGAGGCTCTGAGAGGGGCTCCATAATCTGGCTCAGGCTCTCAGGCTGGGTGGTGAGGGTCCAGAGTGTTATTCACTAAAACAAAACAGCATGCAAAAATAAAGGTGGACCATGCCTGGACAGTGGGCATGAACTATGTCTATGGACTGCACTAAGCCTGAAGTTCTTGCAGGTAGGAGGGCAGGACCCTACCAAGTCTACTTACACAATGGCGCTCACTCCTCTGCAGTAGCGCTCCCACATGCTGCGGAAACGGGGCTGTCCCCCAATGTCCCAGAGCTAAGTGAGAAGAGTGTAGGGAGAGGGTAGCCTCAGGAGTGGGCAGACAACTGAAATCCATCTGCCCTCTCAAGTTTCCCTCCTGCCCTGTGCCCCCTCCCCCAGGGTGTTACCTCTACCTCCTGGCTCCCCTCTCTTCCATCCCTCTACCTCTCACCCCTTCAACTCCCTTCTTCCAGCTCCCCAACAACAGGACCCAACTCTGCCCTCCCCTGTCTGGCTCTTCTCAGGGGCCTCTGTCATCTTCCCAACACAGGTGGTCCTCTGTAGCCCCCTCACTCCTGCAAATCAGCCTCCTGCCCTCACCTTGATGGTCACATTCCCTTTGGTGATTTTGCGCATGTTGAAACCCACGGTGGGGATCATGTCCTCATTGAACTGTCCTGACTGGAAAGAAGAGCCAGAATTGGAAAAGATATAAACATCAATTGGACCCAGATGTGCCTCCCTGGTGGGCATAGACCAAGAGGCTGCAGGGTGACATATCAGTCAGGCTAGAGCTGCTCAGATTTTTCATGGGAGGGCTCACAATGTCTGCTGCTCTCAGGCAGGATGGGCAGTCACCACCCTAGGTGCCATCTATATCTGGAGCTGTACTGGGAAGAGGCCTATCTTCCTAAAACAATCTCAAAGTCTTTCAGTTTAGACTGGGAGAAAGTTCTTCCTAAGGTCTAACCTATAGTTTTTGTTACTGAGGCCCCTTTGCTGTGTTTATTCTCCAATGGGATTAGAGGGGAGAATAAATTACTTTCCAGGAAAAGAACCTTGACACAAGAGACATGTCAAGGAAAACACATATTTTCAAACTAGTAGTAAATAGATTAAAAAGTTGAGGGGGAGGTAAAATTTGCCACCCCATAAATGCAATACATACTAATAGGATTATTCATTGTGTTGGCTTATTTGTACTCTTCCCCATTTGTTAGGATGGACAATATGTATTCTCTGTTATTATTCTACATATGTCTCTCCACTGGGCCAAAAGTTTCCTGGGAGAGACGTAGGGTCTGTAGTAATAGCATTAGTGTTTGCTGAATATCTGGGAGTTGACAGGAATTCCATTTTTCATAGTTCCTTTCAAGTTCTAGTAATTTTCACATCTCCACTATACATCGTTGCTGAAATTTCTGGATTGTTCTAAATTTAGAGCTACAGCCTTCAAATAAGGCCAGACCCAACTCCTCCCAGGTCACCTTTACATTCCCATGTAGGAGCAAGAGAAGCAGGCTGAAGGTTGGGGCTGATGAGGTAACCGTGTGCCTTTATCACAGCCTTCCCTCCTACCAACTGGGAAACTAACTTGCTTGAGTCCTGCACAGGGGCCAGGAGCTCTGAACAGTAGCCAAGGGGCAGAAGATAACCAGCTCTCCTCCAGTACCTGGAAGCTCAGTGAGCTTCCAGGTCCCTATAGAATGAGTGTCACTCTTGTATCTGCAGGAATTTTCCAATGCCTAGTGACAAGGTACAGCAGGAATTCATCTGAGAGCCACAGCTGGGCTGTGGAGATCCTCTGAACCCTCTGTATATAAGTCATCCTTTGATATTCACAGGAGTTGGTTCCAGGGCCCTCCAGGAATACCAAAACCTGCAGATGCTCTAGTCCCTTGTGGGAAATAGTACAGTAACTTATTACAGGGTGGCACACTCCTGAAATCTCAGCACTCAGGAGGTAGAGGGGGAGGAATCAGGAGTTCAAGATAAGCCTCAGCTAGATAGTGAGTTTGAGGCCAGCCTGGGCTATATGAGACTCTATTTTAATTAATTAATTAATTAATTAATGTGTGTGGTGTGTGCGCATTTGTGTGTGTTATGCACGAGTGCAGGTTCATACATGCTACAGCATGTGTGTGAAGGTCAGAGGATAACTCTTGGGAGTCAGTTCTCTCTTGCTACCTTGTCAGACCAGGAGATCAGAATTAAGTTTTCATGCCTGTGCACAAGCACCTACACCCACTTGAGCAGTTCACCGGCGCTTACCATAGACTTAATCATCTCTGACAATGGAAATGTCATGTAGATAATCATTATACTGTTCCTGGCTGGCCCCAAACTTGTAGCCAATTTTCCTACCTCTCCCTCCCAAGTGTTGGGATTATGTCTGTACCAACCGCTCAGTACTCTATTGTTTAGGGACCAATAACAAAAGTAAAAACTATGTTCATGTTTAATGAGGTCTCCCTAGGTTGTCCAGGCTATCATAGAGATAACTTTATAGGTATACCAGCTCAAAAGTGCCTGATCTTGTCTGATTTCAGACGCTAAACAGGGTCTGGCCTCATTATTACTTAGATAGGAGACAGCTCCTGCAGTCAAGTGATTCTCCTGCCTCAGTCTCCTGAACAATTGGGATTGTAGGTATACTGATGATACACTTAGTGTTTCCCAAATATTCTGGCCCTTAGGCGGTTGAAAACACAGATGTAGGCTGTTCTGGGGAAAAGGCCTCCAACTCCCTCATGTATTTAAAAGGGTCAGGAACCCATAGAAGGTAGGAATCATCAAGGAGAGATTACCCTGAAGATGGCTTCTCTTCAGGCTTCAGGCTGACTGTGGTAAAATCATCCAAACCCTAGAAAAGTGCAGGGGTGCTGGGATGAGGGTTGGACTCCATCCTCATCCCAGATGTTAACAAGGGAACTCAGACATGATAGTGGGGAAACACTGGTCACAGTGAGAAGGGTTCTGGTCTCCTAGGACTTGTGAATATGGCTCACAAAGTACCTGGGAATGGTTTTGATGCAGCATGGAAGCACCATTAGTCTTTGGGAACCAGAATATATGCTCCCAAATAGATGAGAGTATAGCCTAACAGAATGCGACCCTGGCAAAATGTGATGCTAGGAGACCTTCAGACAGCCAGATCCTCTAGCATCTGGAGTTTCTGTTAAGTGGTGAAACTGGAGCTAAGTTGCATTTAAGCTATGATTTGATTTCCCTACTAATGACTCACAAATTCCTCCAGTAAGGATGAAGTAGCCTTAAGTCATATAGCTCAACCTTTTGTCTCAGACTTGAACTCTTTGTAGTGCATTCCTTCTTTGATTTTTCTTTTCTTTTCTTTTTGAGACAGGGTCTCATGTATCCCAAGTGTCTCCTGTCTCCACCTCCCTGGTGCTGAGATTACAGGTGTGTGCCACCATGTTCAGTTCTGTGTGGTGCTGGGGACTGAACTCAAAGTTTTGTGTATGTTAGGCAAGCACTCTATCAACTAAGCTACATCCCTAACTTCTCCTCCTTTGATTTTTTTGAGATTAAGTAGCTTAGGCTGGCCTCCAACTCCTAATCCTCCTGCCTTAGTCCTCTGAATAGCTGTTATTAAAGGTATCTACCACTGTGCCAGGCCTACAGACCCCCTTGGGTTAGCTCCAAGTATCAGAAAATTCTTTGAGTCAAAAATTCATCTTCCTGTAACTTCTATCCTTTGTTCTTTAATCCTTTCGGGTATCTGTAGTGATAGCCGTTCACATTTAAAATTTATTTACTTAATGTATTTATTTTTATTTTCTGTGTATGAATATTATGCCTGCATATATGTAAGTGTACCCATGTCCTGTGTCCATCTTCAGTGCCCATGAAGGACAGAAGAGGGCACTGGAGCCCCTGGAACTAGTTACAGATGGTTGTTAGCCACCATGCTGGTGCTGGGATTCGAACCTGGGTTTTCTGCAAGAGCAGCCAGTGTTCTTAACCATTGAGCCATCTCTCTAGCCCTACCTTTCATATCTTTAAGTGACTGAAATGAGCCTCTTGCTGGGTGTGGCAGCACATGCCTTTATCCTAGCAGTAGGGAGACTGAGGCAGGATTGAGAGCTTGGGACTGGCATAAGTTACACAGTGAAGAAAAAAGAGAGAGAGAATGATCTTGCTTCTCTTGGGCAAAAACATCTCTCACTTTTCTAGCATTATAACTTTCAGAACTCAGTAGTTTTAGTTTCTTAGATGTACTGTAATGCCTCTCTACATAATTTCTTTCCAGTTCACATTAACCTGCTGAGCAGTTGGGCTCAGTAAACTCAATTTCTATTCACAGCCAGACCTCATAGAGTGGGGAGAAAAACCCAAGGTTCGGGGGGATTGCTGAGACAAAAAGAGGCCAAATGAGCTGGTAAAGGTGATTCAGGAAGCTAGTGGTGGGCATGGCACAGAGCCCAGGTGATGGGGGGGATTGCTGAGACAAAAAGAGGCCAAATGAGCTGTAAAGGTGATTCAGGAAGCTAGTGGTGGGCATGGCACAGAGCCCAGGTGATTCTCCTTTCTGTGGTTGTAGAGGCAGTGTGGGGAACCTTGGAGGTCTGAGAACACTGACATTATCCAGACGTAGCCCCTAGGAGATGGTTCTATCTGCAGGGTCTCTGTAGGGAAGGGAAATTTGGCCTGCTCTTTTAGTGATTATCAAAACAGGGACTATATGAGCTGGGGAGGGGGAACGTTGAATATCACAGAAACTCTTTTTATGGCCAATGTCTTTCTATGTAGCCCAGGCTGGTCTCAAACTTCAAACATCTTGCCTCAGCATCCAGCGTGCTAGGATTATAGATGTGTTCCATCATGCCTGGCTTCAAAGAAACTCTTGACCATGGCAGAAGAATTTGAGAATTTGGTCTCCTGTCCCTGATCTGTCATAGTCTTCCACTCTGGATTTGATGCTGGCCTTGAGGGGTGGGTCCACAGCAGGGAATTAAACCCACTTGGGTATCTGTGGATCCTTGTTCAGATGCATAGCTTCCCTGGGGACAGGAGGTGACACCTAAGCTGAGTCCAACCTTGTTTCTCCTCTTGATTAATATCAGGGACATCTTCCAGACCCAAATGCCCCAAACCAAGCCACCTAGGCCTGCAGAGCCAGGTGGGAATCCAGGAGTTGTGTTCCACTCTTATAGCCCAAGAAGCAAGTCAACATCAAGTTTAACCAAGGGGGGTTTCTGATCCTAAGGGCATGGCATGGCAGACAGGAAGCTAGGAGCTTTAGTTCAGAAAAAACATTATGCCCCAAGCCTGAGCAGAGGACCTGTGGGTTAAGGAGCCAGGGGACACAGGGTGGAGGAGAAGGTAGAGGGCAACAGCAGAGCACATTTTAGGGAGGAAGCCCATGTCTAATCATGTGATCATGAAGTCCCAGTCCTTCCAGCTTTCCATTCACCCAATGTAGTAATATACGGAGGGGTGAGGGTCTCCCTGTTGGGATGCGAGGTCTGTGGGGCCTCAAGGTTGGGCAACAATACAGGTAAGTGACAGTACCTAGGCTGGCTAGCCACACACTTTTGCAGACCTATCACATCAGCATCTTTTTAATCTACTAATCTTGCTAACTCGAAGTTCTTGGAAATCTTTGGGACTGGGGCTAGGTCCCAGGTCAAACTAAGCCCCATATTCCAAGCCTTCCTTGGTCCCACAAGCCCAGTCCTGCCTGGCTCTGAAATACAGGCCGCGGCCATTACTGCAGCTAAGCTCACACACCCAGGCAGCTCATCTTCCTCTTTTTTTAAAAGAGAAATTTTAACTCCTTCCCCACCATTCCTCTGGCACAGAGAGACGACTGCAATCGCACCCCCCTCGTGCTGTCTCCTTAAAGCCCTGGGAGCTGCTCTCTACCATGTTCCCAGGTGGACAGCGCCCCTCCAGCTCATCCTCTTGGGACCAGAGTACCTCCTCCTGCAACTTCTGAGCCAGGCGGGAGTCTCCCAACTCCCTTTATGGTGCCATCCTTCTTAGACTCCAGCGATACCACATACCCGGGACAGGTTCTGGGAAGTCTGGGCTTGAGCGAGGGCATCAGCTGCCCTGGGGATACCTCCCTCCACCCTAATGGGACCCGGGCTTCCACGTCCAGCAAGGAGGGATAGAGCCCTCGGGGTGGGGCTGGGCTTGTCCCGGGCATCCTCGCCAGCGGCTCGGGCCGCGCGTCCCGTGACCCTCCACGCGCGGAGAGGGAAGGCCCGGGCACTTTCGCCCCGTCATGCCCCCTTGTGCGCTAGCCGCGGGGGCCTGGCTCAGCCTACAGCGGGTCCCTGCTGCCCGGAGACCCCTGGGTGCCGCCAGCTCAGTCCTCAACACCCTGCATCTGGCCTCGCCATCCCAGCTCAGGCCGAAGCACTGGTGGCGCTCCACCCGGTCCTCCAAGAGCCGTAGTAGGCCCCAAGCGCCCAGAGCCGGCTCCTCCCCTGGCCGGCGCCCGGCGGTACCCTGCCAAGCCAGGCGGCCACCCGGGAGCCCAGGGCGCGGCGCGCGGCCCTCATACCGCGATCACGTTGACGAAGGTGGTCTTGCCCGAGTACTGCAGCCCCACCAGCGTGAGCTCCATCTCCTCTTTCCAGAACAGGGCCTTGAACCAGTCCAGCAGCTTGTTGAACAAAGCGATCATGGTCGCTGCCGCGGGCCGCGCCCGGTGCCGGGTCCTCGCCGCCCTCGCTGCCCTCGCGCTGAGGCCCGGAGCGGCCCCTCCCGGTGCGGCCCGGATCCCGGCTCGGTGCGGGCGGAGGCTGGAGCGCGGTGGCCGACGACTCGCTGCCCCTGATCCTCTCGCCGATGGGTGTGGCTTC